ATTACGACTTATATTGGAAGAAATTTGAAGAGAAGTACCATTTTTCACATCAAAGTACTGCTGACCTCTAGCCATGAACAAGGTGGATTTTATCATCACCAACACGTATCGAGAGATTGTAGGAACAAAAAGAGTACTGTTGCACAAAACGAGAATTACTCATCTTTCGGAATGGGAGCCAGTCCCATAATTTCAATTAAACATCCTTGTGTACCTGGACTCACCAATATATATCAGACTCACCAATATGTACTAGACTAGGCCTGTTCATCGGTTGACATCCATTGGATATGGAGGAACCAAACCGATCCAATCATCCATTGGATGCTGGATTTTGTCAACTGATCCAATCCAATTAACATTGGACAACCAATCCAATCCAATCCGATTAACATTGGACAACTGATCGATTCCAATCCAATCCAATCCAATGGATGATTGGACTGGTTCGGTTCCATCCATTGGATTGGATTGGATCCAACCAATATTAATTGCATAGAATGGATTGGATCCATTCGACATCCAATTGGATGATCGGATTAGATCCATCTAATATGTTAATTTAACAATTTTTCAACAATGAAAGAAATTGATTAATCGCTTTTAATATATATTAAAATAAACACAAGCGAGACTAAAATTCAAAAATCAACAAAAAACAAATATCTATCTATGCAAATTGATGGATGATGGTTGGATCATGGTTGGATGGATAACTGGATGGTTAATTGGATATTGGTCGGTTCTGGACTTCCATCCAAGAATCGACGGATCCAAATTGGATGTTGAAATTTTCAATCCAATCCGATCCGATTCAATTACAATTCGATATCCAATTATGATCGGTCGGTTCTAATTGGATCTTCGGTTCCAATTGGATCAGTTGACTTTCTTCACACCCCTACACCAGACTATCGTTGCAAATGGTCTTAGAGAGAGGGTGATTCATGATTTCATGGCTTTGAGGGTGGCTTAGATTCCCAAACGGCTGGCACAAGGGGTGCTGATGAGTATAGAGGCGGTTCAGTTGCGATGATTGCTACAAAATGTGTTATGGCTCATACCAGCCACACAATTAACTATCTAGTGGATATTTCCAGTCAACAAGAAGAACTATGAGCACGTTTTCTTGCCGTACCATGCGTCTTGCAAACTACTTCTATGTTGATGAAAACGTTCAATTGGGGTATGAAAAGCTTGATGACACTGCTAGAGGCACACAACTATTAAAGCAGCAAGATATCTCATTAGTAAGAACTCCGCATTTCAATCTTAATCATATTCCTTCTAATGTTGTGTACCCAAAACGGAGCAACAATACTTTTCGGAAGTAGGGCATGTAGATACCTGTTTTTGTTTCATGTTTATTTCCGTACATAGTGACATATGGGGTCCTTCTAAGGTCATGTGTCATGGGAATAGATGGTTTATTACCTTCATAGATGATCATACAAGGGTTTGTTGGGTCTATTTTTTTTTATTTTCTTTTTATTTTTTTTTGTAAGGGTGTCCTGGCCAAAGCCCGACTAATCCCCGGCAAATTTGGAGGCTAAACATGGCCCCACTTAAATGTCGCCAACACTCCTTTCCCAGGGCTCGAACTCGGGTTCATGACTATGCCATGCCCAAGCCTTTACCACTAGGCTGGAAGGTCTTTGACTTGTTGGGTCTATTTGCTTAAAGAAAAATCAAAAGTTGATCATGTTTTCAAAAAATTCTATAACATGATTCTAACTCAGTTTGGCACTATGATTCAAATTCTTAGAAGTGACAATGGTAGGGAATATTTTACTAAAACTCTAGGGAATTTTTTAGATGCTCAAGGCATAGTTCAACAAAGCTCATGCAAAGATACTCCACCACAAAACGGCATAGCCGGAAAAAAAAACATGCATCTGCTTGAAATCACTCGGGCTTTACTATTTTCAATTGAAATACCAAAATATTTATGGGGAGATGCTCTTCTGCATGCTACATATTTAATGCACCGAATGCTGTCTAAAGCTGTAAAGTTTCAAACACCATATCTGTTTTAGAAAGTTCTTTTCCAAAGTCATGATTATTTTGTTCCATGCCTTTAAAAGTTTTTGGTTGTATCGTGTTTATTAAGAACACCAATATCAACCTTGGAAAATTAGACCACAAAGCCCTCAAATGTGTTTTTGTAGGAATCGCACCACATAAAAAGGGATTTAAATGTTTTCATCCAAACACGGGAAAAATGTTTGTTACCATGATGCTAAGTTTTTTGAAAATATTTCTTTCTTAAATCTCGTCTTCAGGAGGAGAATAAAAAAGAAGACTTGAATTTTTCGGATCTAGTATTTCCAACTACATTTGAGCCATCTGCATTTGACTCAAATCCCAAAGATTGTCCAATATTTGAACACGAGGAAATATGTTCCAATAGAACCACCACTAGATCGAGAAAGTGAACATAATATTCCTCCTACAGAAAGTGAAGTACCATTTGAACCTCAACAAGTTACTCAAGAGGATTGTAGTGAAAAAGAAAAAAAATAGTTCGGAAAAGTGTATGAGCGAAGATTCCCTCCAAACAAAGAGTTCAACACAATCTCAGCTCCTGATTCCGAACCGAGGAAGGAACCATCTCTTGGTAAGTCATGTGACCTGAATGTTCCAATAGCCTTGTGAAAAGAAAAACGTGCATGTGTTAAATATCCTATGTCCAATTACATGTCTTGCTCAAAACTCTCACCAAAATACTCTACTTTCACTTCAAATGTGTCCAAAGTTCAAATTCCTAACACTATACAGGAAGCCCTTAAAAATCCAGAGTGGAAAAAGGCTGTTCTAGAGGAATTGAATGCTCTTGAAAAGAATCAGACGTGGCGTGTTGAAGATCTTCCGAAAGGTACTCCCACAGTTGGTTGTAAGTGGGTATTTACTCCAAAATTTAATGCTGATGGGGACCTCGAACGATGTAAAGCAAGGCTAGTAGCCAAAGGTTTTACACAAACCTATGACATTGATTATACAGAAACATTTGCTCCAGTTACAAAGTTAAATACCATAAGGATTCTACTTTCAGTAGCAACAAATCTTGATTGGCCAATTAGGCAATTTGATGTGAAAAAATTCTTCTTGAATGGCAAACTAGAAGAAGTTTATATGTTGCCACCTGGGTTTGAAAGTAACTTTGGCACAAAAGTGTGCAAATTAGAGAAAGCTTTGTATGGGCTCAAGCAATCCCCACGGGCATGGTTTGCACATTTCACTTAAGTAGTCAAAAGTCACAGATACAAACAGGATCAATCTGATCATACTTTATGCACTTGATTTTCCAAAAAAGGTAAAATTACAACCTTAGTAGTAAATGTAGATGACATACTCGTCACATCTAATGATCATGAGGAGATGGAAAGAATGAAGGATCGACTTGCTAAAGAGTTTGAAGTAAAGGACCTTGGAGAAATGAAATACTTTCTAGGTATGGAAGTTGCAAGGTCAAGTAAGGGCATTGTATTGTGACAAAAGAGATATGTTTTGGATCTTTCACAAGATACTGGAATGAGTGCATGCCGACCAATAGATACTCCAATTGAACCCAACAAAAGGTTGGATGACATTAGTAATGGGTAGCAGGTTGATATTCATCAATACCAACAGTTGGTTGGAAGGTTGATTTACTTATCGCATACACGACGTGACATTGCTTTTGCAGTTAACATGGTGAGCCAATTTATGCATTGTCCTTATGAAGAACATGAAGAAGCTGCCCATAGAACTCTTAGATATTTAAAGAGTTGTCCAAGGCAAAGGACTACTCTTTAAAAAAGGAGACAACCGAACCATTGGAGCCTTCACTGATGCAAGTTGGGTAGACCCACACATGAGTAGAAGATCTACATTGGGATATTTTACTTATGTATGGGGAAATCTTGTCACGTGGAGAAGCAAGAAACAAAGTGTTGTATCCAGAAGCAGTGTAGAAGCTGAATTCAGATCAATGGCAGATGGCATATGTGAAATAATCTGGATCAAAAGGGTCTTTGCTGACTTACGTGTAAAGGTTGAGCTACCTATGAAGTTGTTTTGTGATAATAAAGCAGCCATTGGCATCTCACAAAATCCAGTCCAACATGACAGGACAAAACACATTGAAGTGGAGCGACATTTCATAAGGGAAAAGTTGGACAATAGGACTATTTGCATTGCATTCATCCCTTCCAAAGAGCAAACAACAGATATCTTAGCTAAAGGACTATTTAGACCGGCATTCGATCGTCTTATAGACAAGTTGGGGCATGTATGATATATATTGGAAGACTAAAGGACTGTTTTGGTGACTTGTGAAGTTGCATAAACAAGTCATGGGGAAAAGTTGCATAAATCTGTGTGACGTGTGCCTCCAAGTTGCCATCATGCGTTCTTTGAACTAGGCAACTTGCTGGAGACTTTGAAGTCATTTTGCTTAGTGTTTGTTTCAAGAGCTTTGATAGATTAGGCTGCGACTTGCTATGTCATCTAGGAGTCACATACGGGCATTAGACGGGTTAGTAGTTATTTTTGGTCTCATTTATTTAGTAGAACAAGTTGTTAACAACTCAGATATTTGGTTGTGTTCTCTCTCCAAATTCGAAGTTGGTGGTGTTTTGGCTACCATATCTGTTTGTTGTATCATTTGATAGGCATTTCATATTGTAGCATCTACTAGTCTAATAATATACATTATCTTGTGTTCGTGTGTGGACATAAACAATCATACTGATTGTGGAACCACATTTTATCGTTGTCTTGTTTGGCTTGCTTTCCATTTCGTTTATTGTGACACATTATATCATTTACTATCTGATTATTTCCGTATTGATTGTTGGGTTGTTTGCCGTTCCACAAGTTTGGTGTAGTCATTGTGTCTCCTTGTTTCTAGGGCAGAAGTGATTTCTCCCCAACAATCCTTGTTTCTAGGATGCAACACCACACCACATTCTTTAAGCTCCCTATGATCTTATATTTCAATTCAGGAAGTACAAAGACTGTTAACAATTAGCCACATCTTTTATACAATCATGGAAATGCATCCTAAGCAGCATTGCAGGCACATTATTGTTATTTCCATTGCATCCTTCACAGCTTTTGTTATTATCTATTCAACATAAGGGAAAGTTTGATGATACTATTTTTGTACTTGCTGTAGTTCGAAGAAAAGAAAATGAGACATGGTAGAAAGTTTATAAGAACTATATTTTATCAACACTTCCGTTGGTATCAATGATCAAAAAATGTTTTAGATATGTATAAGAAATAATATGCGCTACTGTTATAAGAAATTTTTACAGCAGAGCAAGACAATTTCAGCTAGGTGGCGTGAGACTAAATACAAAAATGTGAAAATTCGACATTGTTCGACTCCATCTCCTTAACCCTGTTATCATTGTTGGTGTTCAGCATTTTCTCCAACTTAACCATAAATCTATTGTCTGTTAAAACTGTGTTGTACAGTGATATCATTAACTTCCTAATCAACCCTTTTTTGGTCCTTTCCTTATTGAAATATCACTAGTGTACTTTTTAGTGTGATATTTTTGGTCCTATTTCATTGATAATATTTTATAAATGAATTTCGTAGCCATATAATGAGCAAGCTAAGGTTCTTTTGATGTCAACATGTTCAGTTTTGAATTTAAGGCATTATACCATTATCGGTTTGTCTGTTAACTGTCAGAATAAGCTGATTGATGAAGTAAACTTGGTTAAGAAGGGAAGTACTATGGCAGGAAATTGTGGAGACATGTATCCAGAGATGTTTCTTGGATGGGTTGTTCGTGAACCACATATAGAAAGTAAACATGAATCATTGCGTTAGCAGATTACACTTGCTTCTTGGTCGGTGCTTAAATCTGATAACTACAAGAGATGATGTAAAATCATGTTTATATTCTGCATCACATAGTTAAATTGCCCTTTCCTTTTGGACTGAAAACCCGTCATCTTTTGCTTTCAGTCTTTTTTGGGTAATTTTGTAGCGGCATCATGAAGCATTTAGTTTTGATGCTTAAGATTGTGTCATCAAACGAACCCTGATTTGACCATGACAGACTTTCATGAACAATTTCAGTACTTACGTGAGAATTTTGTCATAGAAAATAGGATTTATTGTCATCCAGATGACTTTTGCTCATATTTTGGGATCAGATTAGATGGTCAACTCTATCTATATATCCTCTTTTGTATTTCTGAGCTCTCTATATCTACTCATTTGTCTTTCCTTGCCCAAATTTTCATAAAAAGCTCCAAACTGATTGTAATATATCTTGCTTGGTATCATAAACTTGAACATTTTTGTAATAAATTTAATATGACCATATCATATTTTTGCAAAGATTTCCTTATCTTGTAAACTTGCAACAACTAGCTTAATGTCTCCACCTTTCTGAACAGAAATAGAGGTGCTCTTCGCTCGCCACTTGGAAGTGCATACACATCTTCGTAAGTAGTCTAGTTTACCACCCTACAGTCCTTTCTGACCTCCTGACCACCTGTTATGCTACTCATTTTGATCATGGACTTTATAAATGCCTTTGTGAACGCATCTTCGGAGCTTGCAAACTTAGATGCCAGATTTTTGGTTTTAGGGGAATCGAGCAAAGCTTTGTCTGAAGAAAATAAAGCCTTTTGCTGGAAGATGAGTTTGTAGTATGTATTATCAAAACTAGCAGAAGAAGGATCCATTGCAACTCCTGCATTCTTTGCATTTTTGGCTGGGCAAACGCTCCTTAAAGTTGCAGCAAATGAAGGGTGGATTGAAGGGTCGATATCGGTCGTGGAGTTGAAGTTGTGGATTCTGTTTTTGAACGAGGAGCAATGAGAGAATCCAAGAGTATGCCCACCTACATACAAGGTACATATACAAACTTCTGTTAATTTTCTGATCATAAATCAGATGTTCTTTCATAACGATTTTAGCTTCATGTGTTATAGAACTTTGTAATTATTACACTTTTTAATTAACTAAATGACATTTTTACCCTTAATAATAGAGAGAGTAATGAATTTTCTTATCTCATAAGTAAGGGTAGTATTAGAAATCAGACCCATGCAAAAGTAGACACTTATTTTAGGACAAACTGAAATAGAAATGTGCACACTTATTCTGGGATGGAGGTAGTAGTAGTACATCTTAAGTACCCATGAACAAAGACAAAATGAGGGATCTTATGGACCGAAATCAATATTTTGAATTGAAACTTCATTAAAAGGAAATGTTGCATTTATTCTGGATAGAACATGGTACAAAAGAAGATACACATAAAACCGTGTTATACAAACTTTTGTTAAATTAAATTACCTGAAAGTGCCACTAGGTCTTCAAGGGACAGACCTCTTTGAGCAAAGCTTTTTTGAAGCTGAGATATGTTGAAAGTAGGAGCTGGGAGTTGTATGGTTTCACTGGCCTTTGATGTTCTTCCATCTTTTCTTCCTTTAGGCACATCCCAGGATGGTCCTCCAGACTGTGCTTCAAAAAACACACATTAGAAACACTGTCCCATGAAAATTTCATGTTAATCAAATGTCCTAAATACCCTTTAATAATGGAAAATAAGGAAATCTTGTGGATGCAAATCAGCATTGTTGGCCTCTTGCTGACTGTTGGAAGCAATCTGTTTTAAACCAGAAGATTTTCGATGGAAAATATAAAATTTGAACTTTAAGAAGCTCGTAAGAAGAATGAAGCAATACAGTTTTGATGAGCCATCCGAAAATGGAATTTGCTCGGCCCTTGAAAATTGCATGTTAAGCAAATGTCTTAGATACCCTCATAGTCTCTTATAAATATATATAATCATTTATTGATAATTATCACCCTTCACCTTAGAGTAGAATATAAATGTAGAGAAGAACAAATGACCGAAATTGCCCTCAGTTAATGGATGGAGTTGACGTCCTTTAGTGCTAGGTACCATCCATGAAAGCAAATTGAAACATTGGGGGTGCTGATGTAAATTTTTGTTTGTAGTGGCAATTCCGAGAGTTTGAGAATACCACAGGGACTATTTGTGTAATTTGCTTTCAGTTTTATTATACATATATTGGTAAAAAGGCTTGGTGAGTGTATCACGATCGCCGCTATAGATTTGATCTTACCAGCACGACTGCATCTCTTGCCGCGAAAGCTAAGATATCCGCACACGAAACTATTCCTGGGCACGCAGATTCAACCACTTTCTTAGCATTGTCAATGACATAAAACGCGTGCAAAGAAACATTAGGAGGTCCGTCCTTCTCAGCAGTGTTTTTCCCATTAGAATTCAACAAAACCGAAGCATCACATCCCTTATCACCAAAGATCAAAACAAAATAGTTAGTCAATTTAATCAAACACAAAATATATGCAACTTAAACATAGACAACACCACTGTCAAAAAGATAAAAACGATTCCCATCATACTCTTATGAAACAGTCATGGAAGTGCATCCTTAGCAGCGCCGCTGGGACCTTTTTGTCAGTTGTCGCGGCATCCCTCACCGCCCTTCTGACAAGTGATTCTACATTTGGGCATGTTTTGGAATAGTAGTTTGAACTTAGTGAGGTTCCAGAAGAGAAAAATGAGAGAATGAGCAATAAGCATAAAAATGCAGACATGATGGCCATGGTTATATGCTTTATTTAGAAACTCTATCTCCTTTGTCACCCTGATGATGATTCTGCATGGACTTCATGGCATTGCTATTTATAGACAGT